GGGCTATAGTTCTCAAACCCCTGGATTTACGTGTGAACATCACTCCTCATAAAATACAAAATTTAGAATCAAAGGGAGTTTCTCCAGGGAGATTGCTTTTATCCGGATATCTAATGGGTTTTTTTTGCACTGAAAGCAATGAAAGGAAAACAGTTTTGTTTTATTGTTTTTTTTTACACAGTCAAGAAGTCCTGCGAACATTCAGCTTGAACAACCAGCCAACCGATCAATTCCAACAACCAATCAAACAGCATCCAATACTGGAATAGGGCAGCCAGGATATGTCTGAATTTAAATGACTGTGGCTGGAAATGACATTGTAGTTATGTTAATTGATCATTTTTAAACGATAAGCCGAGGTTCTATGGAACCTCCAGAGTCCCTTCTTTGGTTGCTTTGGGTTCCTTGAGCAGTGTGCATTGGAAAACTACTCTCCCACCCATACTGACCAGTGACCACCAATACAAGGAACAATGTTTCGATGACAGCCCCAAGGATGAAACTTATTAGGGCAAAAAATGGGGAACTCTTTACACTGTCCACCAATAAAAGGGGGTAATTTTACACTGTCCACCAATACAAGGGGACATTTTACACTGGCCCACCAATACAAGGGACATTTTACACTGTCCACCAGTTACAAGGGGGGAATTTTACACTGTCCCACCAATACAAGGGGGAATTTTACACTGTCCACCATACAGGGGGATTTTACACTGTCCACCAATATTGGGGGGGAAGTTTACACTGTCCACCAATACAAGGGGGTAATTTTACACTGTCCACCAATACAAGGGGGAATTTTACACTGTCGACCAATGGGGAATCCGCCACTGTCCCACCAATGCAAGGGGACATTTTACACTGTCCACCAATACAAGGGGGAGTTTTACACTGACAGCCAATACAAGGGGAATTTTACACTGTACCAATACAAGGGGACATATTTTACACTGTCCACCAATACAAGGGGGAATTTTACACTGTCCACCAATACAAGGGGGAATTTTACACTGTCCACCAATACAAGGGGGAATTTTACACTGTCCACCAATACAAGGGGGAATTTTACACTGTCCACCAATACAAGGGGAATTTTACACTGTCCACCAATACAAGGGGGAATTTTACACTGTCCACCAATACAAGGGGACATTTTACACTGTCCACCAATACAAGGGGGAATTTTACACTGTCCACCAATACAAGGGGGAATTTTACACTGTCCACCAATACAAGGGGACATTTTACACTGTCCACCAATACAAGGGGAATTTTACACTGTCCACCAATACAAGGGGGGATTTTACACTGTCCACCAATACAAGGGGGGAATTTTACACTGTCCACCAATACAAGGGGACATTTTACACTGTCCACCAATACAAGGGGACATTTTACACTGCTTACCAATCATTATTGCTTATGATCAACCCCAGGCACTACATTTCTTTAGGGCCCATTTGCACTTAGAGGATAAGTTCACCTTTTAAAAAAATAAATAAAACACATTTTTTGCAATGTTGGGCTCCTGCAGACTCTCAGGATGGTTTTCCTGTACCTCCCATACAGTCAGTCAACTATCTGAGATCAGAAAGATCAATGAACTATGAGAGAGCACACCAGCACCCTGATAGTTCATTGAGAACTTCAAGCCGCCTGCCTCAATGGCTGATGGGAGTTTTAGTTCATTAATTCACAGAACTATGTGAATGAATGATGCAGCCGTGTGGGCGGAGCCACACTGTTTTCAAATCATGATAGCGAGTACAGGGACGACGCTCGCCTACAGTCATGGGGAGAGGAAATCGGGGGAGAGAGGGTGAATGCTGAACATTTTACATGCTACACCCTAAATACAGGTTTAATATGTAACATGTTGAGACAGGTGAACTTAGCCTGTAAACATTCCACTGTGGTGTGTTATCCCTGGTTCACACTGTGCAGGCCGGTTGTGGGTTCCGGAATCGCATCTTTTCCCGCACACACAACCACGCACAGCCAAATTGCACTGCTCTTACGAGATGCTCAGGGCTGACAATCATTCTGAATGGCACCTCCACACATCTCACCCCGCAGTGCGGGAACAGCAGGAAATTTGCAAGAAAAGACCATGCGATTTCCTTGCTGCCACATTTTTAAAAAAGTGCATGCTCCTTTTTTTTTTTTTTTCAGGCGGAAAATGCAGGCACGGCAAATGAAAGGGCTGCCATGGCTGCGCAAACATGCTGTGCCGCACAAGTGTGAACCAGGGCTCAATGTGTGTTATGTCACATGTCAATGTGCATGGAGGTAAGGCAGTCCATTCATTATGAATAGGATGTCAATACAACACAATGGATACAAAAATTCTATATTTTTGTACATTTTTGAAGATGCAGTGCACCACAACACATGGTGTATGTGTATTGAGCTGTACTGTACAGTGCATTAGGGGGGGTGTCATTCACAATGAATGACACCACAACACACCAAACCTAGAGCAGGTGCATTGCTATGAGTTGTAGTGTGTATATCAGGATGACAACACACAATTGTAGCCCTAATTCTTCATTTTAAAGTTTTACAACTTGGTGATCACACTAAGATACCATGAGTAGGTATCAAGGTTGGTTTACGTCTCTGCATAACAGGAACACATGCAAAATTGTGAGCTTTCCGGACACACACAGTAACATGTTGCTCTTTAGCAGATGCACAGTGGTGCTATTCATTCTTAATGGCAGCCCCATGCATTGGCAAATGTTTCTTATGGGCCTAACCACATGGTGCCACAGAACAATGTAGTTCGGTGCTAAGCGATTGGGTTGGGTACTGGTGTGAAGCAATTGGAACGGGTACTGGTGTAAAATGATTGGCATGGGTACTAACGCAAGTGATTGGGATGAGTACTGGTGCAAAGCGATTGGGACAGGTACTGGCGCAAAGCGATTGGGACGGGTACTGGCGCAAAGCGATTGGGACGGGTACTGGTGCAAAGTGATTGGGTTGAGTACTGGCGCAAAGTGATTGGGACAGGTACTGGTGCAAAGCGATTGGGACGGATACTGGTGCAAAGCGATTGGGACGGATACTGGTGTAAAGCGATTGGGATGGATACTGGCGCAAAGCGATTGGGACTGATACTGGTGCAAAGCGATTGGGACGGATACTGGTGTAAAGCGACTGGGACGGATACTGTGTAAAGCGACTGGGACGGATACTGTGTAAAGCGACTGGGACGGATACTGGTGTAAAGCGACTGGGACGGATACTGGTGTAAAGCGACTGGGACGGATACTGATGCAAAGCGAATGGGACGGATACTGATGCAAAGCGAATGGGATGGATACTGGTGTAAAGTGATTGGGACGGATACTGGTGTAAAGCGATTGGGACGGATACTGGTGCAAAGCGATTGGGTCGAGTACTAGTGAGAAGTGATTGGGTCGAGTACTAGTGAGAAGTGATTGGGTCGAGTACTAGTGAGAAGTGATTGGGTCGGGTACTAGTGAGAAGTGATTGGGTCGGGTACTGGTGTAAAGCGAATGGGACGGATACTGGTGCAAAGCGATTGGGTCGAGTACTAGTGAGAAGTGATTGGGTCGGGTACTAGTGAGAAATGATTGGGTCGGGTACTAGTGAGAAGCGATTGGGTCGGGTACTAGTGAGAAGCGATTGGGTCGGGTACTGGTGCAAAGCTATTGGGTCGGGTACTGGTGTAAAGCGATTGGGACGGATACTGGTGCAAAGCGACTGGGACGGATACTGGTGTAAAGGGACTGGGATGGATACTGGTGTAAAGCGATTGGGTCGAGTACTAGTGAGAAATGATTGGGTCGGGTACTGGTGTAAAGCGATTGGGACAGATACTGGTGCAAAGCGAATGGGACAGATACTGGTGCAAAGCGATTGGGTCGGGTACTAGTGAGAAGTGATTGGGTCGGGTACTAGTGAGAAGTGATTGGGTCGGGTACTGGTGTAAAGCGAATGGGACGGATACTGGTGCAAAGCGATTGGGTCGAGTACTAGTGAGAAGTGATTGGGTCGGGTACTAGTGAGAAGTGATTGGGTCGGGTACTGGTGCAAAGCTATTGGGTCCGGTACTTCTTCCCTGTGTTTCTCACAGGTGGGCCAGTCCATTGATATGAATGATTTGCTCTACACGCCACACACGGGAACACGTGGAATTCTGTACCTGTGTGAACCTAGCCTTATAAATACAGTATTAGCAGGGGTTACCTCAGACCTGAAAATGATTTCAAGTGTTCCTCCAGGGTTAAAAGGTGGAGAATGAAAGGTTTAGAGTGAAGCTAGCCACACACAGTGCAATCTGTACAATCTCAGTAAATTCTTCATTATATGTAATGTCAGGGCCTACCTTACCAATCGATGTATTTTATATCCAATGAAGAAGGCACATAGAAGCGTGTGTACAATCAGATTGTGACCGATTTACACCAACTCTACCCATCGTGCTGAATGTCTTGTATCTTCATTGCATCCATTTGACTATTTTTGCTATTTTTATAGGCAGATATATTGTGTTCTGTATCAGAAGTCAGGACCCAGGAACCAGATCAGAACTGATCAAAAATAACTTGTACATAGAAGAGAAATGTGATTTGATCTTTTTTATTTTGCTGAATATACACATGTGGATAGGTTTGTCCCACAGTTTAGGAACCGGCCAATCATGCTTCGATATTTGTACAATTCTCTGCCGATTGGACAAACCTGGACACACATATTCAGTTCAATAGTAAAGATTAGTGATCTGACAATTTTCCTGAATTGTAATTGGATTCTCTCATTAGAATGTTGTAAAAATGTTCCTCCTGGCTAAGATGTCAAATTATGTAAATCCCCAAAACAGGAACAGCCACATTATACTTTCCCAACCCACAGTAAATATTGACTCGTAAACAGTTACAATATCAGGTACTTAACCAATTAAACACGAGGCCAACTCCGATTCCAGCAAAACAGACAAACGATACAGATAATCCGATCTATAATACCTGATAGCCTCCATTTCTCCGGTTGGGCCAAGACCATCAGCCTCTTGACATCCTGAGAGGCCAGGCTCTTTCTCCCTTTTCCTGAGTCCTTCTCATCCCTGGGTTCTGAGTGCTGTCCTGCCTGGCTGGAAGGTGATGTGCTGTACCACCTGTGGTTGGCAGACGTTGAAGCTGGCCAAGGGGTGAGCAGGGTAAGGGTCCTGGAGGGCACATACTGGCCAGGCAAGGTGAAGGTCCTGGAGGGCACATATTGGCCAGGCAAGGTGAAGGTCCTGGAGGGCACATATTGGCCAGGCAAGGTGGAGATCCTGGAGGGCACATATTGACCAGGCAAGGTAGAGGTCCTGGAGGGCACATATTGACCAGGCAAGGTAGAGGTCCTGGAGGGCACATATTGACCAGGCAAGGTAGAGGTTTCAATGGAAATATACTGTCCAGGCAAGGTGAAGGTCCTGGATGGCACATGCTGGCCAGGCAAGGTAAAGGTCTTGATGGGAACATACTGTCCAGGAAAGGAGGAGGTCCTGGATGTCACATATTGGCCAGGTAAGGTAGAGGACTTGATAGGAACATACTGTCCAGGCAAGGTGATGGTCCTACTGAGCACACACTGAGCAGGTAAAGCAAGGGTCCGGGTTGGCATATATTGGCCAGGCAGGGCTGTGGTCCCAGAGGGCACATACCGGTCTCTAGTCCTGTAAGAACAGCACACTGTAATTCCAGCCTTCCTGTAGCTCTGCCAGGCTCTGTACCTACCTCCCTCCAGCAGGTGAGGGCCACACAGGGAGACTCTCATCATGTCTGCAGCTCCCTGTGAAGGTCAGCGTTGGCAGGGGTCACCTCCTGGGGGTCTCCTCCATGTGCTGATCCCTGGATACAGATATACCCAGTGTGGGCAATGGAGATAAGCCGGCACCCCTCCTCCTCCGGTTGGGTGTGAGGTCCCTCTCATTATCTGCTATGTCATGTTAGCTGCAGTTCTGTAATCCTGTCCCCAGCATGTGTGCAATACAGACTACACCCCCTGCTCTGTATTACACCCTCCACACCCGCCCATCTCTCCCAGTTAACCCCTTCCTGCCTGCAGCACACAGATCACTCCACAGTCCTCTGAGCCTTGGCAATGTCACTGCTGCCAGCTATTAGTAGTAGTAGTTCTGTGGTTGTATCTGTGTCCTGGGTGTACACAGCACTGTGCAGGAGAACTACATACAGGGCTGGATGATCAACAATCAATGTTACATAGTTACTAAAGATACATAGAAGACACAAGGAAGAATGTCACTGGATGACAAAGTAGCAGAAATCTGATTACTAATCTCCAGGAACAAGTTATTCCAATTAGAAACAACCTCTTGACTGGAGATCTGAATTGATTTAATGACAAAATCATTTTTTTTTATTATGTTGAAATTGATTTTTATGTATGTACAGTATATATATATATATATGCGAAAGAGAGAGAGAGAAAAAGAGATCAGAAAGTGGAATAGTTATCCTTCAAAAAATACTTACATTGAAACAACAAATAATAATTACAAATAAATTACCTTTACATAACTTTTAAAATGTATTTATTATTATTATTATTATTATTTTCCTTTCATCTGTTTTTTTTCTTCAACTGTAGGAACAAATTGTTGATAATGGAGATGTTATCACACCACAGTCCTCAGGGACTGATTAGAAAAACTGGACTTACAGCCCCATCATGCAATGCAATTCCTCGCTTTACCCAAGAGGTTCAACCTGACTGATCACCCTAAGAATCTCCTATTTATTTATTTTTTTTGCTCCAGGTTTTGTAAATCAGATGAGTGAGCACAATGCTGCAAATGTTTAAAATGCTGGCAACTATGCAATGCTTACATTTATAGGGGGCTACAAATCCCAGCATGCCCTGCTCTACCACAGCTGCCCTTGAAGGGACAAGGACTGCCCATTACTGTACAACTGTATTGAAATTGCTGATAATATAGAAAATCATAAAAAATATGACATTAAGGAAGCATAGCAATGTCCGTGGCGCTACGCTGGCACTTGTAGTTCAACAGCCAGTAAACATAATTCCTGTCCATTCTGTAATTGATAAAACAAAGTACACTAATGATATGGAAACTGTGGCCGCTGCTCATTTCTGTGTTGTCTTACTGGCCACATGGTGCAGCCATTTGCGTTCTCAATATAAAAAAAGAAAAAAAAAAAAAAACCTTTGGCCAATGAAAACAACCTACTGGATTCCAGCAAATGAAAAGCTGGACGCTGATTGGTTGCTGTAAAGGTTAGGCTACTTTCACAATGAGGAATTTTTCAAGCGTTTTTGCGTTAAAACAAAAGCACCTGAAAAGCTCAGGAAAAACACTTCCCTATGTATGAGAATGTATATCTCTGTATGTTTTCACACAGGCGTTGCGCTTGCGGTGCGGTGTAAAAACTCCCGCTTGCAGTATCTTCGGGGCATATTCGGCCAGTTAAGAAAAACACCCCAAAAATGCCTCTTCCCATTGAAATCAATGGAAAACGCCTGAAAAACACCTCTGAGAAGCGTTTTTGGTGCAGATTTTAAGTCATGTGTCCTTGAGCCCGGGTTCACATATATGCGGTGCGGTATATCGCACGTGATTCACACAGAAACCGCACCGCATTCCTGTGCAAATCACATGCGACTTGTGTGTGGTGCGATCAGAGCCGTATATTACGTATGGCTCTAATCGCACCACACCCGCACCAAAAACGTCCAGAACCCTTTTTTGGGTCCGCACTAGAATCGGATCGTATGGGTAGTCACACCACCTATGTGATCCGACTCTGCACATCGCACCGCATTTTGCGGACCTATTTTGGGGTGTTGTTAACTTAGCATACACACCAACAGCGGTTCGCATAAATGGGGTGCGATTCTGATGCGGTGTGGAATTCGCACATAAAACGCTGCACTGCATCAGTGTGAACCCGGGCTGAAAAATGCTCAGAAAACGCGGTAACAACAGCTATGTATTTTTGCGGCGGATCAGTGCGAAAGTTGCCTTAACTAGGCTTCATAGTTCCAACAATACAACATAATACAGTGAGGAGTTGTTTCTTTCTGTACTTTAGTATGATAATAGCAGCATCCTGTTTATAATGAAATGTTACATTGTTGCATCTCCCACTGACAGGGATTACAAATAATGGAAAAAGTCAGCAATAGTTACAATGTATACAAATGCTGCTACAATGTGGCTTCCCATCCAATGACGGAGAAGGTGTGGAATCCTCATGATGTCTGGTAGAAGTTCCCTGCCTGGAAATGATTCAACAACCAGCCCCCTCCATCCAGGAGCTCAGATGACCTCATAGACCATGTGACTGGGCTGAGCTTTGACATCATCAAGTCATGTGACCTGTGTAGCAGAAAAAGGAAGAGTCTACAATGTCAGGGCAGAAGAGTGTCTGGAGATGGGGCCCGGAGTGTCTAGAGATGGGGCCCGGAGTGTCTGGAGATGGGGCCCGGAGCGCCTTGTCTGGCCTGACCACATAGGAAGCTGCAGGATTCCACTTCTAATCCCCAAGTCTCCTTTTCCTGCTCTAATAGCCAGAAAAACGTGTCCTATGACTAAAGATTCCCTGGATGTCATTTTTTGTAACTTAATATAAATCAAAACCAAAGTAACTTCATTCACGCCAAAACAGTCTACATTATACATTTTATTTAACCCCTCCCCCTCCAGAGGATTTTCCCCCCCTGACCAGGCCATTTCTTGCGTTACACTGCTGCTGACAATTGCGCGGTCATGCAACGCTGCACCCAAATGAAATGTACGTCCTTTTTTCCCCAGATATTGAGCTTTCTTTCCATGGTATTTGATCGCCGGTGCATTTTTAATTTTTCGTGCTATAAACAAAAAAAGACCTACAATTTTGAGAAAAATACTATGTTTTTGACTTTTTGCTATAAAACATATCCAGTGAAAACATTTTAAAAATCAAATTTTATCATAAATTTCGACCAAAATGTATTCTGCTCCATGTCTTTGCCAAAAAAAAAATCCTGATACGTGTAAATTAATTGGTTTACGTGAAAGTTATAGCGTCTACAAATGGCGGTATTTACACTGTTTTTTTTTGTAATACTAGTTAATGGCGGCGATCAGCGACTTATAGCGGGACTGCGGTGGGCATTCTGACACTGGGGGGGGGGACTGACTTGGTGTCACTGACATCCCCAGTGACACCAATACAGTGATCAGTGCTAATAAAAAGCCCTGACACTGTACTAATGGCACTGGGCAGGAGGGGTTAACATGAGGGGCGATCAAAGGGTTAACTGTGTGCTGTTTCACTATGGGGCTGTTTCACTGTGAGCATGCTGCAGGAGCTGACAGGGGAGAGATCTGTGTTGTTTACATACAGTCCCCGTCCCCCCCGTCAGTAATACTCAGCGATCACCGGGTGCCAGCGAGTAATCGCTGGCTGGGACCCGGTGATTGACAGCTGAGGCCGCAAATGGTGATGTAGAACTAGAAAATCACATATATATACGTGATTTTGCGCACCCGTGCCGCCCTGCAGCAGTATTTCTGCTATAAGGTGGCGCAGAAGGGGTTAAAGAGGTGGAGATCTACCTGAACAACATGGGTGAGGTCAAAGATCACCGGGTGCAGTGCCTCCTCCTCACACCTGATATAAATCTCTAATTGCCGCATTACCATGTCACAATCACCTGCATTGCAGGGCAATCCAGGGTTTAAATCAGGTGGTGAGGGGGCAACATATTGTCTCCTCACCACATGTCAAACACACTCAGATCGCTTTTCAGAGGAGTGGTAGTGCCTGATGCACTTGTGAACAGGGGCGGACTGACAACTCATGGGGCCCCCAGGCAATAGGGGATCATGGGGCCCCTGTGTCCTTGCTCACACTCAATTCACACCCAAAAAAGCCTATAAAAGGTACCAGAGGCATTTCATGGGGCCCCCTACTGACCCTGGGCCCTCAGGCAGTGCCCGAGTGCTCGAATGGTCAGTCCGCCCCTGCTTGTGAATGAGCCCTTAGTTGCATTTAGCAGCAGCACCTTTAGGGCTTGTTCACACATAAAGTTGGGGGATGGTAAAACGTTGTGGTTGAGTTATGGTTTTACCATCCCCAATCCCTACCCCATTTATCCGCTGAAGCAGCAGCCCAAGGTGTACACATGCTGCAGCAGGAATTACGTCCCCTGTTGCTTTTGGGGGGTACTACTGCCTGCCAACCACAACCTATTCAAGTAAACGGGGCCACTCTGCAAGCACCCCAGAACAGCATGCTTCTGTGGAGTCCAAGGGGCTACAGCAGGTGGGGAGAAAGCAACACACCGCTGCCTGCCTTAACCCCTTGTTTACTGTACTGCACAAGGTTGCAGGGCTCTTGCAGAGCGGCCTCATTCATTGAAGGGGTCATGCTTGGCAGATGCTACACCCACCAACCATGACAGGGTGTATAACTCTTGCTGCAGCTGTGAATGTGTACACCCCCGGCCACTGCAGCTAAAGGATGTGTGTTTGGGGTGGGGGTGATAAAAACATGTCTTAACTATGGGGTTTTCACTACCCCCAAAACAGCAAATGTAAATAAACCCTTACTGTTATGAGCCCCCTATAAGGCTGCTTTCACACTGATGTGCTGCGGTTTTCCTGCACCACGGGTGCAGCGCAGTGCATCTGTGACTTTCCTGGGTTAGCTGCACTTTGACCTTCATCCTGCAGGCGGGGTGCAATACCTGAAAAGTGCGCCAAACTCGCAGGGTATAATAGAAGTCTATGGCTACACCCACTGCACCCA